GACTGGGTAGGCTTCTGTTGCTTTAGAATTAAGCATGTCTAATAATAACAGTAATGCAGACATAAAATGAGAAATTAGGAAAACTATTTTCTAGACCTGGAAATGATTTGAAAATGGTTTGAAATTGACAGAATGAAAACATGTCAAAAACAAAACAAGTTACCCAAAATACATCAATCTGGGTACTGCTTAGGAGGCAAGTTCATGGTCCAATGAAGTCTTGTTCCTATTGGTTTAGTGCTATTAAACCCTTCACAAGTACTGCCGTGAGGCTCGAGTAACAAAGACTACTACGTGACCTCCCTGCCTATCAGCTAGGTTGTCAGTTTGTTTGAGAATCGATGTATGTTGTAGTGCACAGAGGAAACTGGCAAGCACCAGGGATTCCTCAGAAAAGCCAGGGGGGAGAATGAATGTCTACCTTAGTGTCTCTAACCACAGGAATATCTCAGTCCTCCTGGAGAATATCAGTTACAGATATTGTGAAGGAAACGATGGATGAAAGTAGTCTTATTTCCAAAGCTTAAAGACATACAAATCCTATGTACAGAAACAAACAAACAAAATTCCAATTCTAAAAAAACAGCAAAAATTCTAAATCTAACAAAGTTAGTTCAAAACAATCAAAGAAGATCCAACATCTAAAAAATAAGAAAAAAAATTCCTCCACCCTCTCCCAACACTATTCTGTGACTTTCCCTTTCAGGTTCTATATGAATCCCAGTGCCTCAGGAGACAGTATCCACAGCACCAGTGCCCAGCCCACAGCCAGCGGCTCAGCTGACATTAAGGCACCAGATCTTATCTCTTTCCCTGAAGAGGAACCTAGGGAGACTCCAGATGATCAGCCTGCAACACACAAGAGGTACACCAAATGAGTTCAAACACCTAAAGCTCCCAGAGTTACAGTTTGTAGTCCAAGAAGATAAATACTTGCCTAGCTTCCTGTAGCACTATCTTATCTTGAGTCCTTTGCCTCTTGTGTTTCTAGTCTGATTCCCGAGCCGGTGCAGTCGGACCCCCTGGGCCTCCTGGAGCACCAGGCAGCGGGAAAGCAGCAGAGATGCAGTGGGACGTCACTGACACGCAGCAACAGTGTCGGTGGCCCACTGCAGAGCCTGGACTACTCCCAGAGACCTGGACATGGCGTCTCCACCACCAGCCTGCCCTCCAGCCTGCAAGAGGTGTCGGTCAGTGCACCTTACCGTCACAAACTAACCCCATTGTGCTTAAATATAGAAAAAACCACTGTAGCTGCTGTGCATTGAAAATGATTGTGTGTGTTTGTCAGGATGGTATGGGGACTAAACGGCCAAACCCCAAGCCAGTGTCTGTACCGTACCTCAGCCCATTGGTGCTGCGCAAGGAGCTGGAGACGCTGTTGGAGAACGAGGGAGATCAGGTAAAATACTCGCATAATGCTTTACAGAAAAGCTACACAGCTACAAGACGTGACACAAGATCCTGAGAGGTTTGTCCAACTTCTCTGCCATGTCCAACCAGGTGATCTACACCCACAAGTTCCTCAGTCAGCACCCCATCATCTTCTGGAACCTGGTGTGGTATTTCCGTCGCCTGGACCTGCCCACTCACCTCCCTGGTCTCATCCTTACCTCTGAACACTGCAACAAAGGAGTACAGGTTAGGAACATGTCATATATCCTTATTCTTTCTGTCTCTTTTGTTATGGCTTTCCTTCACCTTGTCCCATTTCTCTTTGCAGTTGCCCCTGACGTCACTGTCCCAGGACAGTAAGCAGGTATACGTCCAGCTCCTGTGGGACAATATAAACCTGCACCAGGAACATGGAGATCCCCTCTACCAGCTCTGGAGGACCTTGTGTGAGTGTTTACACAGACACACGTCATGCTGCAGTGTCCACCCTGCTGTATTAGCCATTATTGTAGTGGCTGACATCTTTAAACCCTATAAAAATAGCACACACTTAATGCCACTATGTGAAGTCAGTTTGTGATTTTCTGATGTAAGCCATCAGAAAATGCACTAGGGGGAGACAAAGTCAAGACTTTTCAAATGCTACTTGTAGTTTGTTTGGTTTCTGTTAACCAAGGGTAAAAAACTTAGTTGGCATTTGTCAGATTCATGTCCGCTTTTCTATTTCTTTGCAATTGTGCAGATGTATTAGTTGCATATTGAGGTAAATATGAATGTTTCACTCATTGTATGCTGCTGCTATGGATTTAACATTAGCTGAAATTGTGGCAAGAAAATTCAATAATGTAGTTATTTTACCTCCTTGGATACAGTGTCACTGTTGGCCAGAAGAGGTCAGACTTAAGCCTCTGTTCTAAAAAGGGTAGAATTAATCTTTCTGATGTTTTTTTTTTAGTGGAGAAGAAGGGGACGTTGGCTCCCACAGACCACCAGGAGATTCGTACCCTCCTCAACACGATTGTTCGTAACATCCAGACCAACGACGTGTACGGGCCGATCAACCTGTTGATCCGAGAGATCAAACGGCGCCCAGAAGGTGTCAAACGACAGAGGTAAGCTCAGAGATGTGTTTGATTTAGTCCTTCTTGAAGCATTATTTACTTGTTTTTATTGGTTGAAGTTTTCTTGTAACGTTAATGAAAACACCTCTTATGTATAATTTCCTGTATTTTTTTCAGGAGCATCTACAGAGAAATATTGTTCCTCTCACTGGTGGCCTTGGGGAGGGAGAACATCGACGTGGGTGAGTGAATGTGTGAAAGTGAAATCAACCAGTTACATCACACTTCCACAACTTATATATTTCACCTGAGTCTCAAGGCTGTGAGAAAAACTGAAATGTTCCCAAAGTGTATCACGTAACATTAATGACCCTTCGCTGTGTATCTGCAGAGGCCTTCGACAGGGAGTACCGCCTGGCTTACGACGAACTGAGCGCCGAGCAGCTCAAGTCTTTGCACCGCATTGATCAACCGCCCATCCCCAGCGTCCAGTGGTGCCTTAAATGCTTCGGCGCGCCCTTCATCTGACCGCCAACACCGGGCAGCGAAGATGAAAAATCTGACTGGCCAAGTGTGACGGCAGGATGGAAGGATAGGCGGAGGCCCGGGGTGTGAGCGAAACGTTTTATTTAAACACCTCCAGTCGCCCAAACATGGTACTTCCTCTTCCCTCTGTCTTGGAAGATGCCCATTGTCTGCTTTTTTACAACCTTATTATGCTTGTCATGGGCTTTCCAAACAGCTACTTACAGGTGGGACTGTTTCTGTAAATTGCTTGGGAAGTTGCAGTAAATCTCTTGGGACTATTTGAGGTATGTTTGTCTACAGATGGTGTATAGAATGATTATTCACTGTACAGAATGTATTGACTGCCCCTATGGTGTAGACCTATCTGTTTGTGTGTGTTTGTGTTTGTGTGTGTTTGTGTTTGTGTGTGTGTGTGTGTGTGTGTGTGTGTGTGTGTGTGTGTGTGTGTGTGTGTGTGTGTGTGTGTGTGTGTGTAATCGTAGCCTTTTGCCCACTTCACTTAAATCTGTCCTACCTATCTGCAGATCATTTTGAGTTGTTTGAGACCGTGTACAGACCCCATCTGTTCTTTGTGCACTTTCCAAAAAAGAAAAAAAAGAAAACAGTAACTCAAGTCCACCTGTCTTTTTGTACATAATGTTTACTTGGGGGGTGGGGGTTCAATCTGAAAGATTGAGACCTGTTTTATTTGGATGCAACAGGTCTCAACGCTTTGACTGTTTGTGTGATACGAGTCTTAAAGAATGTTCACGTCTTCATTTTAAGTGTACAGGTTCAGAGTGAGGCTCTCTGTCTGTGTAAATATGTGTTGGTAGCACAGATGTAAATGGCAGAGGACAGAGGACAATCACTAATTATTCATCACTAAAATTGATTCTACAACATTCCAGATGCCCTGCAATCAAAACAGGTCTCAAATAAGTGTTGATCTCTGCAACAACACTCTTGATTAAAGCAGCCAATTGGAGGGAGAGATTCTTAAAAAAAAAAAAACATCAGTCTGAAGTGAAGACATGCCACACTACTGAGTCTCACACATTAAAACAGGACACATGTTCTCTTGCAGGGAAGGACTGCTTGGAGCAGCGCCTCTGTGACGGAGCAGTCCGTCCAACTTGTGTTTTTGATATCTGCTTTTTTTAACAGTAACAAACTGTACTTGATCAGCTAATATGCCTTATTGTAATGTTAATTAGAAGTGTAACTTGCGTACATGTACTGGGGCTATTCCTTACTCTAGCATAGAATGAACCAGTAAGGTTTTTTTGTTTTTTTTATTGGATATATCCTTTGTGGACAGGATTGCTTATATGGTTTACACACAGTAGCTTTGGATGATATTGGTAGCAATTAGAGCTTTATACTGCAAAGGGCTTCTTCAGTACTGCTGACACTGTGTTCATTTTACAACATGACATTCCACTTAATACTAAAACAGACAGAAAAGAAGCAAAGTGCTGTGATGAACTGTGTAGATGGTCCTGTTGTAGACTTGGGAGAGTGAATTTGTACAGAAGTGATAATATTGTGAAATATTCAATTTGCACTGCATAGAGTACAACCTGACCTTAACCCAGGGTGAGGATGAGATGAAACCACCTCAAAATATTAACAACATACAGTAGTTTTTCCTCCAAAACAAAAAGAAATTCCCAATTATTTATTTTTGTATTGACATTTGGATTGCAGGCAGTGTAGTAACTTAACATTTTTATGACTAACACCCCCCCACCCCCCCCCCCCATTTCCCTTTTAATCCGTCTTTGTCCATCCTGTACTGAAATTTAACCTCCTTATGGCAGAGGATGTACAGAAGAGACTGTTTGACATTAACAATAGATTTAGTGATCTCTTACCGTCCTGTGGAAAGGAACTGAATGTCTACACTTAAGTGTGCTGCAATAAATGAGTTTGTAAACTGATTGAAAACCAAGTGTTTGGGTTTTTTTGTCTCCCCGTTGTTGAGAATTTGTGTTCAGTGTTGCATGTGAGAAGCTGCGGTGATTCATATTGTCTTCTTTTTGGTCTCGAGTTCTCGCATTACTTTCTCCATCTCCCCCCAACTCTTCCTTTCCTTTATGAAATATTCCTCCATCTCCTTCATCATGTCCTCCATCACTGGTGTAGTGTCATACCTGCTCTTCGCCCTGGATTTCTTTTAAAATCACTGCCTTTAAATAAGTGTAAGGGAGAAGGAAAAATTTTAATATTTTAAAAGATAAGCTTATTAAGTATATAGAATTGAAAATAAATAAATACATAATACAAAAACTTGTATTCATATTAAAATACATCTGATCAGGAAATTTGCTCTAAATTCGTCCAAATCACTCGTTTTACACAAACTTCCTGCAGTCATTCTGTTCACTATCTGGCCTCAGTGTACAGTTTCTGTTGTTCTCTACTGTTATTGTTATGCATATGCATATAATATGAAATATACATAAAATATGCAGAAAATATAACTTCTAAAGTACCAACAACTAAGAATCTTGAAATATACACGTTGGTTAGACACATTTTGTGTAATATATATTTTCCTAAAATTGTAAAAAAAAAAAAAAAAAATTTAAAAAGAAAAATGTCTGCTGATGCATTTGGTGCTCAAAATATCAATACCATCCTTCCGCCGAGCAACATAGTACTTCGAGAACCTCATCACTGAGAAAGCGCATGGATATTTCAATTAGCTGCGGTGCGGTCACAGGTGTGTGCTTGTAGTGAAGCAGAGCTGCTCTCCACACGGGCTGAGCGTTGAGAGGACGGGGCAACAAGATGCCGTTGAGGCGGACGAGAAATGCTCAGGTTAAAGAGCAGCTGGGCCGGGAGATGCGGCAGAGCAGACTGGCCCTCTTCATCCAGCAGTTCGAGAAAGAAGGTTTGCTACTGACTGCAGGTCCAATAGCTCGGCCCCAGTTTTTTGTGTGTGTGTGTCCTGAAATGCCGAAAAATGTCCCCCTTACAGCACAAGAGCGTATGAACGAGCTGGAGGCCAAAATGGAGAACATGTTGGCAACAGTGGACAAAGTCTTCAAAGTGGAACTGATGAAGATGCCTCCTTCTCTTCAAAACACGTTCATAGGGGATTTAATAAGCGGTGAGCTCCCCCCTCCCTCACATATACATTAAGGTAATTTACTCCTCCAAGTGTGTCTGAGATTCATAACAAGTTTCTTTTCCACTCCATCTTCTGTTAGAGGAAGAGGTCTCAGCAAGTGATGTGTCAATTGCCATGAAGGTAAGTAGAGCCGGTTGTTAAGTCGCTGCCATGTTTGGTGCTTTTTTTTCTTATTGTAACAGGTATAATCGTCTCATTTTGCAGAATGAGTCTCTTGAGATGCACCAGCCCCTCAGGAGGGCACCCAGCAAAAGAGGTGAACACAGTTTGAAACCCTGCAGTAAATGTCATTGTCTGACATTGTATTACTTTAAAACAGCCATCTTCTGTGCTTTTATTTTTAAAGGGAAATCAACTGATTCTACCCCAGGTCAGTCCACCCCAGCCCAGAGGACCTCATCCAAGACCTCTAAGGTGAGTAATGTTTGCACACATTTTTAATTTTCAAATATTAAACATAATTTATGTGGTAAAACACAAGCTTATTTTAATAAGATCCAGATCCCCTTTGGTAGAGGAGGGGTAGTGAAAACTAAGGGAAGAGCTAAAGGACAGACATTAATTATCATATTCATATGATATCAATTATATGTACAGCATATAGAGAAGTAGTAGTTGTAGAGGCACAATATGGAGAAACAATATTAAGGATATAATGTACATACTAAGTATATACTTCCTCAAAGTCAAGGAGATGGAGGAGAGATCTGTGGTCTGACATTTTGTGCAGGAGGAATCTGATAAATATTTGGACATACTTAGAGTAAATTTGCCTTGGATAATGCAGGGCGAAAGAGCAACAGCTTGTAGAATAATATCAAGTACTGGTTTGCTTACTGTGGCACTGTATGTTGTTTTTCTGAACTATATCAAGTGTTTGGAATCCACAATTTTCTGTGTCTGTGTTTTTGTTTTTAGGGAGGAAAGGGGACAAAAAAGAGCAGAACATTAGTTGGTAGTAACAGCACTGGGAATCTCAGGTAAGATTTGCAAGTTAATGTGTTTTCTAATGCGGCGAATGAGTATGGAGACTTTGACATTGCACTCACTGTCTACAGGGGCTCCTCAGTCACTGCCAAAAAAACCCAAAGCCGCTTGACCAAAACCAACGACCAGACCGTACCGACCAAACCTAAACTCAGGTCTGTTTGTAGTGGAGATGTTGAAGATGCATGCATGAACAGGATTTGTATTTAAATCAGATGTACAGATATTTTAACAGCTCAAAATTGTGAATCCTGTGCTGTTCCAGGTCTGTCGTCTCTGCTGGTGATCTGCACTGTTCAATGGCAGGCTCTGCTGCACACATCACTGTAACCACGGCACTGGGACAGGTACGTGTGTGGGTGTGGGGGTGTGTGTGTGTGTGTGGGTGTGTACTAAGCGCTTCAAATCATTTGTATAAAGCACTGAAACCCTTCTAGACCCAAGGAGATGTTTTCTTGTACAGACATGTATTTCTTTACTGCTATTTAATTAAGATGTTTAAAATATACCTGGATTATTAGGAGATGCCACAAACTTGTATGTATGTTCTCCACGTGGTTCTCTTCCTTTCTAGACTGTTAGCTTTTCTGAAGAGACCAAGGATGCAGTTAACTTGGACATGCTGGATGACATGGCATGGTGCCAGATTCAGAAGCTCACGGTAATAGAGAATTCATCTTTAATGTGACTTAAGTGTTTATTTGTTCTTAAGCATCTGAAATGTTCCTTTGTATCAACCTGTAATCTGTCTCTGCAAACTGCATTTTCAGAGTCTGATGGAGTATCTGTCGAGGCGAAGTCGCTGCCAGCGATGAGTAACGATGCCTGAACATTCAGGATTTTCTTATCAGATTTGCAAATAAGAGTAACAGTTGTGCTTTGGTTGTCTTAAAGAGTTTTAAAAATATATAATAAAGCTTATTATTATCCTACATTATTCAGTCAGTAGTATTTGCATCTAGTCTGTCTTGTCTAAAATTTAAAAATGACATAAGTTTCAAAGTGTACTGAATATGCTTAAGTCGTCCTACAAATGATGACATTTTCAATTAACAACTGACATACACTTACTCTACATATGTGGGAGCAATACAAAATTGGTTGTTACTCTGAATGGAAGTGATGATAAGTCAGTTTACTGTGGCACAGCACACAGAGGTGTAAGAGTTGTATTCTTGATGACTGTATGGTTTTAAGTGTAGGAACTCAATTTGAGTTAATATCTTGCCACATTTACTTTCTGACTTTACAAACAAGCAGTTTCCTAACTATCTGTATTTTGTAAGAATCTTAAAGCTGTTAGTTCTGGAGACACAAAATCTAGTTCAGATATTTATGTGGAGGAAAAAAAATAAACACGCACATCTCATTCCATTAACTTTTATGTTGAAATAAGGACAGGATTAAGTTTTGCCAGTATACGTCTCGCTTATAAAACTTATCAAATTGGGCACAGAATTGACAAATACAACATTTTAGGTGATTTTGGTTACAGCAAGAATTAAAAATGTTTTAAAAGTATAAAACAGTATAACATCCTAATGCATTCAACATTATGTTAAAAAAAGAGTGCAATCTTTGCCTAAAAAAGCAGAATATATTACTTAAAACTCAGTACGGAAGCTGCAATGGATCACTAGTGCTGCTGGGACTGCAGCGACTCCATCTCCACTTCCATGGGCTCCTCTTGGTGTGGCTGGGAGGAGTGAGAGCAGGAGGACGTAGCTTGTGTGCCGCAGGAAGCAGAAACCGGCGTACGAGTCTGATTCTCATCCAGGTCCATCCGGGGGTAGAAGGGACCGACCAGCCAGTTGAGCGGCGTGTTATTGACCAGATAGTCCATGACGTTGTCTAGGGAATCTTTCATTCTGCCCAGTTGGACTTTGCTGCTGGTCAGCACGCTGTCTGGCAGGTCTCCCAGCATGTTGGCCTTGCTGAAGCTGGTGTACATTTGTGTGGCGGAGCGGCTGAGTGAGAGCGCCTCCTGCTGGATGTTGTTGGGGAGACCCTGCAGGCTGGAGACGAGGACCAGGCAGGTGGTCTGGAGCTGCTGGGTTAGGGAACGTGCCAGGGCCAAGGTGCGAGACTCGATTACCTGAGTGGAGGGGATGAACAGATATAAATAATCACTCATACTTCAAACTCAAGTGGTGTAAAACAGACTGATGTGTCTCTTTCTTTGATGAATTGAGTACGTTATCTCATTGCATATTTGAGTTGTCCACCTCACCTCTGCCTCATGACCATTCTCCTGGTTTGGACCATTGGACTTCCACGCCACCAGGGAGCTCAGCTTATCATTCACCATCTGGTTAGCCCCGTCAATATTCTTCCTTCCATATTCAATCTACAAAAACAAACACTTTCATTATTTTCTGTCCACGAGTTTCTGCCACTTTAGGGGAGAACTTTAATGAATATTGAGCTACTTTACAACAGCAAGTAAGTTTTATCCCATTTCATCATAAAGACAGGGAGATTTTCCTTATTGTAAAGCATGTTGCATCAAGTGCTACTAATATTAATAAATAAGGAGGCTCACCAGGTCGACAGTGGAGCTCAGCTCAGAGATGAATTCCCTGCTTCGCTGCTTGCCGTCTTGGATTTTGGCCAGGGCCCTGGTGTACGCCCGCTTCCGCAGCTTGGTGGAGAGGGAACCCAGGCGGATATAGTAGCTCGGCTCCTTCTTGTCAAAGCCTCTCACATTTTTGGCCTCCAGCTCTGTCACAAGGGAAGGAAACATGAACAAACAACATACGATTACTTTGAGTTCTGTTTCAGATGTCCGATCCGGTTTTTGCATGTTGGAAGGGACTGGAGGCTTTAAAGCCGTGAAGAATGTAATTTACTCATTAGTCAGTCCCTCGGAACAGATCCATTTAAACTAACAGTGTACGGGATTGTTTGTTATAAAACGTCTGCACGCCACAGTTCACTCTAAACAACGACTCCTTTTAATGATGGAGAAAAACTGGCCACTAATGTAAACAGAGCATAATCTGGTAAGTCCTGTTTTCCTGGAAACTAAGTCGACTCCATCGCTAACGACATACTCCAGCTGCCTGTTAATAACTGACCCTTGATACAGCTTGTTACAGAACAACAGGCTTATTCTCACTAGTAAAATGGGGTCATGAGTAGAAATGTTTTATGGTGGTACAGGAGATGTAGGGTGGTCTTAACTGGTAGTTTTCTACTCACCCAGCTCGTCCTCCGTCAGAGGCAGGTACTGGTCCACCAGGCTCTCAGAGGTGCTGAGGGCCGTGTCCACTCCGCTGCTGACCAGCCGGGCCACTCTGCTCTCCAGGACTGTGGTGACACTCCCGCTGACAACGGCCCTGGTCTTGTCCATCCCGTCCTGCACCGCGCCCCGAGTCTTTACCACGGCGCTGGTCAGACTGTCTGAGACTGTGTCCTTGGCACCGGACATCGTGCCTGTCACAACATCTTTAGCGTTGGTTACCACATCCTTGGCACTGGAAACGATCTGGGCACAGACGGAATCATGAACAAATATATTTTTAATTAATTATGGCAAGAAATATGAGCGAGTTGAGAAAGACGGGACATTACGACATTGTGTAATTTGGCTCGAGTATGAGCGCTCTGACCTTTGAGACTGTGTTTAACTGTGCCAGCTATTGGTCTCTAATCCAGTACGTACCTGCTCAGACGGCTGGTGAAGAATCGGCAAGGTTTTCTCAATCTTGTCCAAACCTTTACAGGCCAGGTCATTAGCAATGGCAACTGTAGGCAGAATGTAAGTAAATTAGACGTAATAAGGCAAACTGAAACAATGTCAAACATACATTTACTGTGAAAATAGTAGAGATATTACTGAATAAATAAGTAAAATAATTGAGTTTTTGTGGCTCAAATCTGGGTGATTCTAGAGTAAACACAGAAACTGGGTGAAAGATCAAGATGACTAAGAGCCAGCAGCCTGACGTGAACTTCCTGTTTCAAGCTGTTTCAGCACTGAATCATCCTCACAGTTTCAGTTCATCAGGTTTTGTTTTGACATCCTATAAACTTAGTGTCTATGAATGGATTTGATCAGCTTATCCAAAAAGAAATCACACTAAAGCGGTTCCTACTCTGAGGTTCCAGCTTGTCGATGATGGGTGAAGCCGTGGTGAGGACCACAGAGGTGATGTTTCGGACTCCCTGCTCGGCGGCCTCACACACGCTCTTGATGTAAGGGTGGTTGTCCTTGGTGTTGCAGTACACGCTGGAAACCAGGCCATAGGTGGAGCTCACCAGAGGAAGGCTGGTCACCCTCTCCACCACATTCTGTCAGGAGGCAGAGAAGAGGAAGAGTAAGGTTACAACACTCATATTCACTGTTTAACTGTGCAGTTCCTTTTTTTTTTTTTTTTGTCCAAAGAGTATTTGAACAGATCCAGTACTATCAACAATCACTTCCTATTTCTATTCCACTGAGTTTTTAAAATAATAATAGAGTAATAATAGAGAAACTGGACATTTAAGTAGCCTACTATGTTAAAATGTACAATATAAACCAGGTCTTATTCCAGAATGTGTAGAATATTTATTTATTTATTTATTTCTAGTGTCCATTCTTGGCTTTTAAATGGATCAAAAGCAGCTTTTTCTCCAACACACACCCCTGCCAGTTCCACCTCCATTATAGTTGCTTTTCAATCAACAAATACTGACAAAATAAAGCTAAAGTCTTTCCAGCAAACTCACCTGATTTGAGATAACTGCAGCTGCTGCCATGTCTACTGAACACAACCTATAGAGAAGAGAAGACACAATATGAAACATTCAGGAGAGCAACAACTTCCAAAAGTCTATTACTTCCGTATTAAAGTGGTCTGTCCTTGTGGCTGTATAATAACAGGTCGACAAGTAACTTTAAAGAGCGACAAGTAAAGACTTACCGATAGTTAGGGCGTCTGTTTACAACCTAAAGTGCGAATGAGCTGACTGATAGTTTGAGGGGCGACAGCCCTGTATTTATATTCTGTAATTATCGCGAGATGTAGCGCGGCACGGTGACGTACGCCGCAGTAACGTTTGTAGGGCAAAGGTAAAAGAGGTAAAAGTTGAACCGGGGAATTCCTCCAGAACCAGCCGTCACGTGGACAAGCTATGACACAGCGGTCGGATTTCTTAACATTTCACCAGACACTGGCATTTTTGGCTCAAATTATTATTATTATTATATCATGATTGTGTGGTTAAGTGGACTAGAGCGCTGTATTTCAAAAATAAACTCCTATATTAACTGCAGCTCTAACATGATTTATAAATGTACACAAGGCCGCAGTAAAAGGGGGACCCTAGGGCAAAACTTATCTAAGATCCCCTAGTTGACCTGTAGTAGTACAATGCACTGGAGAGTACACATGATAGGCTATTTTAACTCTATTTTTAACGAAACACCAAGCAGTTAAACACTATTAAATTAGATAATATAGGTCTAGTAAGGTAATACTGTGCATTATGTTGCAATCTGCAATTCATCAAATTATCACAGACAAGAAAAAATACAGCCGAGGTGAGGCTTTTGCGGGTCCCTATGGCTTTGGGGCCCTGGAGACAGTTGTCGGCTTTATTAGATTAAATTCAGCTTTGAGTACACAGAACTTTGTGTGGCTCCAACAGGACATCATTATCATCAACTATCATTTTCATTTTAAGGCTCAAAGCCACACGATTTACATAGTACCTCGACAATCATCGTGATTTAAAGACCATTGAATGAGATGATAGATGATGATGGACAATCATAGATCCAGTACTGGTTTTTGTTGGCCACATAGTTATTAAGTATCTTATCAAGGTTATGCTGTGAGGAAATCAAGGCCTCAAAATGTGTTTACATAGGCTGTGTTTTTCACTGGCATTATCCATGAAATTACATGCAACAAATCACAAGGGGAAGAATAATTTTGTTAGAACTGGATC